CACCTTATCATTTATTATAAATAATTAAAATATACAGTCGTAAAAGGAAATCGTTAGTGACAAAAGCACATAAATATATTACATTATACAGCTATGAAAAACATTTGTTAATTAATTGTTTTAAGCAATATTTTGTACTGTCTATAATTTTTCACTTTCACTTTCCTTTGTATGAAAATCCCTATTTTTGCTTTAAAAAAAGGGTGGTAATTAAAAGTTATGTGATACGGGTGCAGCATCAGATTTTTTCTATTATTTAATATATTTTTTTTATATATGTAATTTTATGAAGTTATATTTATTTTAGGCCGCACCAGGATACCACATGGCTAAAAAAATTATCAAATTGATATGTAGTGTAGCTGCGGTTGTAAATGAGGATCCTTTAGTTGGTGACAAGTTGAAGGTTATATATTTGGAAAATTACCGAGTGACTCTTGCTGAAAAGATAATACCTGCAGCCGATTTGAGTGAACAGATAAGTACAGCAGGAACTGAAGCATCTGGCACTGGTAACATGAAGTTTATGGTAAGTATTTACTGTATTTATTTATTTTATTTTTTTGTGTGGGGTTGGTAAATAATTACATAATAATATTTAATTATTCATTTTAATAGTTAAATGGGGCTCTTACCATTGGAACTATGGATGGTGCCAATGTCGAAATGGCTGAAGAAATGGGAGAAGAGAATATATTTATTTTCGGAATGCGAGTGGAAGAAGTCGAAGCTCTTAAGAAACAAGGATACAATGCCATGAATTACTACCAAAATAATGCAGAATTAAAAGAAGTCATTGACATGATACGAGATGGATACTTTTCGCCGTATAATTCTTCTGAATTCCACGATATTGTTGAGGTTCTTCTAAAATATGACAGGTAATTAATTTTAATTAATGCTTGTAATTAAAAATATACAGATGTGGCATTCAGTTCCAAAACCAGCTAATTCCAAAATATTAAAAAACATAAATTATTGATGTTTTGTACAATCTTTGGCCTACATTTGTATGTGATGAAAGAATTTTTTCCAAAACAAAAACGGGGTCCTTCCTGAAAACCTCTAAACAGTTAGTCTGTTCCAAAAGTTACTAAGTCCTTTATAGCTACTGATATAAAAAATTCACCCAGTCACATTTGATCCGACTAGCCAACACTAAAATCCAATCTGGGAATAGAGCACTCTTAGCAGTTAGGGTTTGTTTGTGTGAGGATTTGATAATCAAGCAATGCATTGATAAGGAATAAAGCCTTCTATAATCATTCGTGTGTTTTTAAGAGTTAAAAAAAAATAAATTATTAAATGATGAATTTTGGGGGAATGAATCAGTACTTGAGCAAAGAAAATTAGAAGTATCAAACCATAGAAGTACAATATTTGCAAAAATATTGTCGTAATGAATAGGCTAAATTGGATATTTTAAGATAACTATTCACATGTATTAATATGTTTTAAAATTTGATTATTGTATGTAAATATTTTATTTATTCTTTTAATTCTGTATCCATTTATATACATTTTTATTACTATATACATTTATCCCAATAACTCAATTAAAAAAAAAGAAAATTACACTTAATCCCTTTACTCTTCAAATATTTTTTTACATTATATGCTTTTTTAAATTCATCTTCCTCTTAACATATATATATTTATATATACATATAATTAAAAAGTAAAAAGAAAAGTAATATTTCCAAAACAAATTTAAAAATTTAATTATACTATTTCTCCCGAAACCAGTCATATCCAAATGTTGGCCTCATTTCAATCATTGAACTATAATAATTAGTTACTAAAATCGCTTCTAAAATTTTTCTTTTCCAAGCTTTTTCTTGTATAAGCAGGATTTATACTATTTATTTATTTTTTTTTTGTTCGCTGAGATATTTTCATAGATATACTGTGAGTTCTTATTGCTAAACTTATCAATATTTTATTATATAACAGCTGATCGCTAAAACTGTTTCCCCTCATATATTTATATAGTATATTGATAAGACTTCTATAGTTAGCATGACTTTTAAAAAATGTACGGTTACAATATTCTGCTTCCTTGCAATGATTTATTTATTTTTGCAGACAAAAGGAATAAATATTTAATAATAGATTTTTTTTTCTTCAATATATTATTAATTTTTTATTCATTTTTAATATATTAAATGTTGAGGTTGATAAAATTAATCATTTTTGCTTTTTTCTAGGTTCTATTTACTTGCCGACTATGAAGACTTCATTAAGTGCCAAGATAAAGTAAATGAAACATACTTGGTAAGTATGACTATAATTTGTTAAATAAAATATTTTCTTTTTTCTTGAAGATGAACATTTTTTTTTTTTTCTTTCTAAGAAATGACTTAGTAAGTTATGATTTTTACATTAGCACAAAAAGCTTGAATAGTCTATTATATATTTTTTTTTATTTTATAGGACTTCAGAAAATGGGTCGAAATGGCTATTTGTAACATTGCCTCTTCTGGAAAGTTCTCTTCTGATAGAACAATCGCTGAATATGCAAGAGAAATCTGGGGTGTTGAGCCAACTTGGGAAAAACTTCCTTCACCACATCAGCAGTTGTCATTTTAATTTATCAGCTGATATTTAAAGAAGCAATATTTTGGTTTCACCTATGGAATCATTCAACAATCACGATACAGTTGCTAATAGAGAATATACTAACACAATTTTTATAAAATTGTTTGATAATCAAAATTTTATGATTAACCTTGTTGATATATATATTTATAAATACTATATATTTATTACACTTATATATACTGTTCCTTGTAAAAAATAAATTTTTTTATATCTTTAAGTTCTTTTTAATTTATGTTGTAATTAAATGGAAATTTTTTTTTTCGGTTTATTATGGCCATACCTAAAATTCCAAAAGGGAAAATTGAGCATTTGGCCAGAACATTTTTTTTAATGGTGGTATAATTTAGGGTTCAAGAAAAAGTAGGAAAATATATTGAGGGTCAAGTGAAATCAAAATATAAACTTGAATATGTTTGTGTTTAGAAGTGATGTTAAATTTTTAATTGATAATTGAGTAAAGCAGTGGACTTCTAGTTCCAATGTTTGAGTTATGTTGTAGCTGAAAAAAAAAACTGTCCTGTTAGCCATGGGTTGACTTTGGAAATGGAAATGCTTTGGAAACATCTGGTGTATGTCTACCCCTTAATGGTTGAGTGTAAATAAGAACCCTCAACCCTCTCCCCTGGTCCAGGAAAAACTCATATAGCCAAAAAGGTGAGGTAGAGGAGAGAAAAAAAAAGTGTAAATAAAAGTAGATTACCTTATATCATCCAAGCAATGATACTTTAATGAATGTGCTCATTAGAAATAGGTTGTTACTTCATAATAAACTATTTATAATTGTTAATTTACTTGAAAACCCAAAAATCAATTTATTTCCTCTTCATTTCTGAATTTGAAGATAAAGGAGCTACTTTTTTATACACAAGGAGGGAAAGAGAACTACATATAACAAAGATTTACAGATGAGAGTCTGAAGGTAAGATGGAAGATTAAAATGAGGCAATTTATGTGGCTGGATGTGTTGAGTAAGAGGACAAGCATGAACCTGCTCCTATACATTGAAGACATGTTACTAGATTATAAATGAATATCATCTCTCTGTTATTTTAATGTTATTATTTGTTTCAAATATATATATATATTTTTTTAGAAAATTGAGTCAATCTAGATTATGTTCATGAATTAATTCCAATAAATTAATGAAGCCCATGGAAGATTGATATCCTCACTAATGTTTCATTTCAGTTACTCTTTTTTTATAAAATACCTAAACCAGCATAGTTTGCCTTATTCAGAGTATTTTGTACATATAAAACTTGAAGAACTATGCAAAGGAGTTTTTTTGTTAATTCTTGAAAATATACTGTATGATATATCATATACTATAGCAAAAATAAAATACATGTTTAAATAAAAGTTAAGTAGTTTGCTAAAAGATGTGGTTTACATAAATTATTAAAGACAAATAACAGTAATAAAACTGGTGCTCCAAGAAATTCTATTTATATAAACAATATCTTATTTACAAATATTTCAATTTGAAATCAAACCAATAAGTAAACAGATTGTTTTTGTCTCCCTCACAAGTCTTAATGATACTCTGGTAAATAATATATGTACCTCGTAACAACTATTGAATTTGAATGAAATGTGCAAAGAAAAATAGGAAAGGAAAATTTATTAATGATCAATTTTTTCATATTATTAATCTTGATGACTAATAATCGGTGAATATTGGTTCTATCAACAATAAATGCATCCTACCCTAACTATATTTTGTGCATTTCAATCAAATTTCATAATTTTGGACACAGGTCCTTTTTGGTCAGAGTGAACAAGGATTAATTTACTTAATAAAAAAAATTTTTTTAAGATGTTTTTCAGGGTCATAGACAGTTAACTTCAGGGAGAATCTGTGGCCTCATAAAATTTTTAAAAAGAAATACTAGAAAGAAGAAAAAATAAAACCAAAACATAATAATTTTATGCCAGTTAGATGCTAAAATTATTATTAAACTTTAATTAAAAATTAAATTAAAGGCTGTTACCAAACATTCATACTTGTGTGGTAATATATAGTAACTATTAATCTAACATGGAATTTGCCTGGCACCTGCTAGGGCCCCCCTCCTCAAAAAATTTGTTTACCAACATCAATTGTGGTTTTCTATTAAAAATCCTATCTTACTTGATGTACTCTGCCTGGATTATAGATTTTAAATAATGTGATGTTTATGTTTTATGTAGATAAGTTATGCTAGAACAAATCCTGTTAATTTTTTTTACGTTAGGAATACTATCTGAAATTAATTTATTTGGAAGTGTACACCTAATATTTTTCATTTAATAATATAGATATTTAAAACAAGGCACGTTTAATTTTCTGGCTTTATCGCATTAAAGCAATATTCATTATCTTTAGCATCTTTTCAGCATTGCGCGGCTGAACAGATAACAATTTGCAACCTTCCGGCAGTTCAAAAATATTTTTTGGTTTTATTTATGTCAAACGAAAATGAGATTATTTTATTTTATAATTGTATTATTTTCAGGAACATTTGCTCATGTTCGACATAAAGGTACTTTTTATTTCTTCTTATTTTGGGTTATTAGTGTTCACAAAATTCAATTTTCTTTGAGGGGAGGAAAAAGTTGTAATAAACATTAATCAATGCATATCAATTGCTAGCTTTATCGAGATTTTTGACAAAGAACTCAGTTATTTTTAGTCCATTATCCACGAATTATTAATATCTTTTTTGTCATGAATACCTCCTGTAATCTTGAGTAAGATTACTCATTGACTTTTGATTTATTTGTAGAACTAATAGTTTGGTTGTATATATTTTATCAGTTACCTGGCCCATCTTAAACACATTATTCACTCTGGATCTAAAGATAATCTTGTATATCATTGCTTGATTTGTATCCATATCTAAATTCGATGGCCAGCTCACAACACAAACGATTAAATTATATTAATGTAATAATGATACTTCATTATTATATCTAAGAGATCTCATATTATTATATTTAAAACGTAGAGGTATATCCATTCTGTACAAATATTGATAATGTGATGTATGAAAATTGATTAAGTGCATTAAATTATTTTGCACTATTCCTGACTTAACGAGTGAAAAGAAAGCTTGGTGGTTGTTAATTGATGCTGACCACATCACATTCCTGTTAGTAGAAAATAATTTCCTTATCAAATACCAAACCAAAGGAAACCTAATGGGCTGTAGAGATTTTTTTTTTAATGTATTTAGAAAAATCAAATTAGTGTTATCATGTTTAATATAATTGATTAATTAGTTGAAATTTGAACTGAAAGTCTTCTAATAGTACAAGGAGAACATTGATGAATTACAATGTTGATCAAAAAGTAATCAATATCTCGAGTTTCAAAAACTGGAGAGGTTTAGTACTAATTACACGATAATATTTTCATGTTTTATTTTTTCAGTTCATTATATGGAGCCAGATAGTAATAATAATTTGGTCTGTGATAGCTTGTGGATGAATGTTCCTAACATTTATTGTTACAAAGGGAAGCCAAAAAATATTGTTCACATATGGGAAACTATACAGGTAATACTTTTATTTTTTCAGTGGTATATTATTATTATCTTTATTATTCTCACTTTTGTGGATTCAAAGCTATTGAATAATACAGTAGGTATTTATAACTACAATAATTATTAGTCATCAGATTTTTTGTACCTCTCCATTAACTTCCATGGCTTTATATGTTAGATATTAATTTGTCTAGAATCTTCAAGTTTTCAATGGTATATTGTAATCTTCAACCTAGAGTAATAATGATGAAACAAAATTGTCAAGAATTTCAGTCAGAGAGCTTTCGGGCTGAAGCCCCCCCAAAATGGTAAAATATAACCATGTATTATCGAAAAAAAAGTACCTCTTAAAGTATTATTGTTCGTGTAATTACATTTAAAAGGGCTTTAGGAATCACTTAAACACCATTTCATACAGGTAGTTAGTTTCTTTCTTTATGAAAAAAACAACTTTCGGGCTGAAGCCCCCCCAAAATGAAATCCTTGATCCGCTAGTGATGTTTATTGTATTGGTAGAATTTTTATTTTCTAATTTCCCTTTATAAATTAATATTTATTTTTCAGCTCCATTTAAGTCTGTCTTCTGATGAATTTGAGCAGTTTGATGGATCTTCTGCTGAAGAGGTTTTGTCGAAAATTGATAATCAAAAAACATCATGGAATTTCAATTTCTACAAAACAAAGAAAAAAGTGATCAAGTTAAATCCATTTAATACTACTTGTGTTGGTGTCATTACCGACAATACATACAATATCAAGCTCACACGCATTCGTAAGTATGTGTTAGGTATTTAAAATTTAAAGAATCATAATTTTCTTAAAAAATTAAGCCAAATAATAGATAGCTCTGCGATCTCTAAATTATGTCCTGCAGAAGTTTCTTTGATTACATGTTGAAATTTTAAAAACTAATTAAAAAATATGAAATTTAGTTAATCATTCAAACAAAAGGTTACTATAACATTTATTGTATGAATTGTTTCTCATTTATTCAGAAAGCTCATTTAACAACTGAAGTGTCTTTTATAGAATAAACTTTTTTTTTCATCACAAGCTATGGCTGTAGGATGTATTCGGGGTCTGAATATTGTCCACGGGACGTAGTGGATGTCTCAATGCGGCCCTCTGGCCAAAATGTTTAGAGAACCATGCATTACTTGAAAGAATGAAAAGGGTAATGTGGGCATATTCAAAAATAAATGTTAACATGGTACCATTTTATTGTTGACAAATTTATATACTATACATATAACATAAAATAAAGTAATGAGAATAAAATGTCTCTTACCTATACTGTACATCAAAGCTATGTAACCGAAGTTATATAGCGCAGTGCCTATACTCAGTAGAGAAGGCATTAATAAAAAAAAAAAAGAAAAGAAATATGTAAGTAAGAATATTTTTTCTCCCATTTCTTCCACTCCGTTACATCATAACATTTCGGGATCCTCTTATATCCCATCTTCAGACAGTATCCCGCATCATCTTAATTCTCCATAAGACTTGTCATGTTAATTAAATTGTTTTATTTTTGTCAATTGCTGGAAATCCTATTTAAGTCTCCTTTAGGGAGAGTCAAGTCAGATGATGAAATTAGTCAGCCTTATTGTAGTTTTCATGTATGGTGCGCATCCCCACCTCTCCTTTTACTCATAGACGTGCTGCCTGAGAATAAATAATCTAAATTACGATTGTTAACACCTAAAACTATATTAAAATAAATAAATAAACATACATATTACAATTGAATGTCTATGTTCAACATGAAGTATTCTTGAAAAAAAAAATTGTTTTGTCATTTTAATTGAAAAATTACAATTTTTCTTTCTTGTCATTCTATAAATCATTCCTCTTGGTTGTTCCATTTTCACTGTTAGTAATTCATACACCTACAGATCATTTTGAAAACTATTCCCAGCTCATTAATACTTCAATGAAAGGCATTTAAAAAAACATCATCTATATTATTATTGTAAACACTTCACAACACTCATATTGACTACAATAGCAGGAGCAAACATAATTCAATTATTACTCAGAAAATGTTTCTTTCCTTATTAATTAAAATAATTTTTATATTTGTATTAATATTTATGTATTTTTAACATAATTGATGTTAAAGCGTGAAGAAAATTGTTATCTTTATCAATGTTTTCTACAATCTTAAAAGCTGTTTGAATGAAGTATGCAATCCATCACATTTTCTCACTCACGGTCGTTACAGCGATTATATTTTGGCATGGTTTGACGTAGTTTATAATCGATGGAATACCAGCCATTCTGCATCAATCCATACAGAATTTTACTCCCACATTCATTCTACATTCCATTTGGATTGGAATGGTCAATTTTATTATAATAATCGCTGGAAAGTAAATAAATAAAATAATGAATAAATAGATAGAGAAATCTCTAGAGAATAAAATTTAATTTAATCGAGGTTCTACTATGATATGATTAGTAACGTCTGACAAGTTGTTTGTATTTGTCGAATTGATATTTCTGTTTAAGTTGAATTGATTTGATGTGCTTTATGTTATGTTTACAGGTGTTGACTATTGGAGAATACTTACCTTCGCCTGTGGAATATCCCTTTTTTTATTTGCTCCCAAGCTTAGCAGCAATTCATTATTTTACTACATTTGTGGTGTCTCTTTTGGTACTTGTGCTTCCGTCTTGATTTTGATTTTCATTATGAGTAGACTTCTCCCAAAGGTACTTACTATGTTTTAAAATTTATTCTGCTAAATTTTTATTTATATAATTATTATGACAAAAAACATTTCAAACAGTTCTCTCTAAAATGTTAGAGTATATTATTTTTATATCCATGTATTAACTTTATTTATATTAATATCCATGTATATTTTCTGTTTCGGTTTCAGAAACCAATGATGTACAGTTTCCTTGTCGGGGGATGGACTATCGGACTCTATTTATTCCAATTTCTGTGGGACAACATTCGCACAATTGCGTTAGAATATCAGTCTTACGTCTTTTATTATATAATTGCAACTGGAGTTATTAGTTTTATAATTTGTTATCGTATCGGACCTGTATCAGATCCAAGGAGTATTAACATTATAAAATGGCTAATGCAGGTATGTATTTAATTTATTTTATAAGATATACTTATAAAATTATATTCTGAATTGAGAAGGAGTTAGTCGGGGGTGCGGTCAAATAAATACTAAATTAAAATATAGTAATTATTTTATTTTAATTTTGCCGACGTTTCTACCCACTTTGCAGGTCATCTTCAGGGCTACAAAAGATACAAAACATGTTGAGAATAAAAATTAAATATAAGTAGATATAAAATAAGAAGAAGTTGTCAGATACAGAAATAAAAGATGATATCAGAGATATAGTGGGTGACAATGTAGTTAAATATTAAGTATTATATATGTAGAAGATACAAATAAATGGAAAATAAGTATGAATAAAAATAAAAATAAAGGAGAATATAGCATGTAAGTTAAAAGTAAACAGATTGCGATAAAAGATAAGGAATAAGTGTATAACAAACTAATAGAGATTACATTCCTATCTTATACTTATTCCTTATCCTTTATCGCAATCTGTTTACTTTTAACTTACATGCTATATTCTCCTTTATTTTTATTTTTATTCATATTTATATTCCATTTATTTGTATCTTCTACATATATAATACTTAATATTTAACTACATTGTCACCCACTATATCTCTGATATCATCTTTTATTTCTGTATCTGACAACTTCTTCTTATTTTATATCTACTTATATTTAATTTTTATTCTCAACATGTTTTGTATCTTTTGTAGCCCTGAAGACGACCTGCAAAGTGGGTCGAAACGTCGGCAAAATTAAAATAAAATAATTACTATATTTTAATTTAGTATTTATTTGACCGCACCCCCGACTAACTCCTTCTCATATTATATCAACGGTCAACCATCTCTACATCACTATATTCTGAATTATTTTAAATTAAATTTATTTTAGTTGTTATTTGATACGACATATTTTCTGTTGATTTATACTACAACTAGCTCCCCTCATGGCTTCGCCTAGTCTATAAATAGATGGGTTAGTTTCTAAACTCAACAGTTATTTCATTGATAGAATTCATCAGCTATGAACAATAAAGAACATTGAGATTAGAGATAACCTATTTAAAGGTAATTGAGAAGTAACAGCAATGAGGTTGTTAAAAGCAGCTGAACCACTGAGCCATTGGTGATTCAATTAATGGAAAAAAAAAAAGAATGGGCTGAATTCCATGAATGAGTTTAGGAATGGTCTCATGGTGTTCCGATGCGATTGATGCGCTCTGTCCTGGCTTTAGAAACTTACCAAACAAATTCATTATTTTCTCCAGGCTGTTTGTAACCATTTCAAGTTTGAATTATGTATATTTTATGTTAAGTATTGTGTCTGATTTTTTTTATATATAAGGTGTAATTAAATTTATTTATATTTTTTAAATGTTTTGTTCTAGGCCGTTGGTCTTGGTTTAATATTTATGAGCAGTGACTTTAAGGAGGCGACTTTGGCATTCGACATGCTTCTTCTTGTCTGCTACGTTTTGCCTTTTCAATCTTTTCTACGTTTCTCTAAGAAATGGTAAGTGTTTTAATTTGCATATTATATTTATTCATAAGTCTGTCAATATGCTTATACTTAAAAATAACTTTATGCATTTGAAAAATGTTAGCCATGCTACTACTGAACTAAATTTGATAAAAATTCATGTAGTCATTATTGATTAAACAAGATTTTCTAATCATAAAATGTTTGTGAAATAAATTGTCCATTATAAAACTTGGTTTGATATTGAAACTATTGATATTATTGAACTAAAATTAATGACTCATTAATGTTTTTTGAAAATTTAAATAAATTTGCGTAATTATAAAATATAGTAAAAACAATCTAATTAAATTAAACAATCTAACAATCACATCCTTCCATAGTAAAAGTAAATCCGAAATAACGCAATATGAGAACATAAACAAAGTAAAATGACTGAATTAATAAAACTATTGATAAATAGTAAAAGTAACAAGACAAATCCAAATTATCTATCATCTCTATTTTTTTTTTTAATTTAGCCCACCTGATTAATGTAGTTTTGCTTTGTGATAATTTTTTGTATTGCAATTTAGTGCTCAGTCTTAAATTATTACTATGGAGGATAGATAATCAGGAATGTATATGTGGAACAGTTCATGAACTACCATTATTCATTATATTATTGCGAGTCACTATTATTATTTAATTTGTTTGTGCTGAAGTTTCAGATGGTACAGGCCGAAACCTAGACCATTGCTTAGTGAGGACGAGTTTCATCATCAGGGTGTTATCGAAACTGAGAAAGCTCTAGAAGAATTGCGTGGATACTGCTCCAGTCCCGAGTGCAATCAATGGAAGACAGTTCTCAAATTACGCAATCCTATGAGGTATGAAATGTTCATCTGTTAAATCCCTCTAAAAAATAAAAATCAATTGAAATTGAGAATTTATTATTGATTTAAAATGTAGATTGAAATTATTTATAGAGCATATACTTTTACAACATTTAGTATACAGGTACTCCTAACTTTACGACCAGTCGAGCTTCGACTTCTTGATTCCGCGAATGGTGACATCTGATTTGAAATTGGAGCATTAGAAAAGTTCATCAGTTTTAATGGATAATGTTATAGTGAAAGAGACAGTGAATTTATCGGCAACCATAATAACTAAGCAGCAAAAATGTCTCATTTATGAGATGAAGACATTTTTGACGATCAACCATTACTGTATTAGAGAGTTTTACCAATGGGGAGCTTACTAATTACGGTTTAATAGAGTCAGAAGAAAGGCTGTGAATGCCGAGTTAAGGTGTTCCCTATTATAATATTATTAAGTATAGCAGCGCTGGTACGAATCTAATAAATCCTGACTCTATCACTCTGGTTAGAATAGTTATGGCTGTATCTCTATAAATATTTACATATTGCTTATAACAAAAAAAGTATCAACTTAAATTTTTCAAATAAAATAATAAAATTATTACTATGAATTTAAAAAAAAATAAATACATACATATATTAATTTCCCTAAATATCAATCAAGTTGAAAATAATCATATTAGGATGATAATCAGTATTAAATGAACCCCAAAAAATCCTATAGTATAAAAGTGTAAACATTTATTGTTAAAAAGAATGAGTACTTAAAATTAGTGAAGAATTAATTAAATTGCTAAAATAGATAAAAATAAATAATTGAAAAACTTCATTATAAACCAGATATCTATATATTTCTAAGATAATAAAAAACTTTTGTTGTAGATATTTTTTTTTTAAATTATATTGTTTGGTTGGAAAAATTTCAGTATTTTATAGTCAGATTTTAAAAACAATATTAGTTGGCTCAAGCGAATAATATGCATAGAATATTGGTCAATGGACAATTGACAATATAATATAAAAATAATTTTATTATATATATTATGAGATTGAAATTTTTTTTTCTTTTTCTCAGCCAAAACACATCAGTTCATTAAAAATAACAAACCAAAAAATCTATCAAAATTATTCATGAATAAAGTTTCTTTTCATTCATAACTTTTTTTACTGAAATTTCGAGAGGATGTTACTATGATTCCACACTTCTCCATGTATGTTATCAATACCTTTTGGTTTGATACATCATTCATCAAAATCTATCACTCCTGAGAGCTTGGAAAGGGGTCTACACCGTGAAAAAATATTGTATTATATACAGGATGTTTCAAGGTTAAGTGGTCAAACTGCAAAAATGAACTAAGGACCTCAAAACAAGAAAAAAATTTCCTCTGAAGGTATGTCCGCAAACAATTTGTTTAGGAGATATTCACACCTAAAGATTTTCATTGCTACGAATTATTTACGTTATATTAAATAAATAAAACCTATTTATTTGTTCTAAATACTATATCAATTAAATGTAAACATTAACATTCGTATTAAATATTGTACAAAGTGATTTCCTTGAGTATTAAGACAGGCTCGGCATCTTTCTTCAACATCAGCAGTGGCAGAACGGCACTGGATATGTGTTATTGTTTCACAAAATTCAATTATCCTTCTTGGTAATGAATTAAGGTTATTGATCGGACTTGCATAGACTTTTTGTTTAATGTCACCCAAGCAAAAAAATCCACAGTGGTTTCAGGTCTGGAGAGCGTGCAGGCCAAGCCACTGGTCTTGCATGGTGAATCCATTGATTGGGATAATTAACATTTAGCCATTGTCATGGAATTAATTAATTAATAAAGTAGTAATAACAAATAAATAGGTTTTATTTATTTCATATAACTTAAATAATTCATAACAGCGAAAATCTTTAGGTGTGAATATCTTCTAAACAATGCGTTTGTGGTCATTCCTTCATAGGACATTTTTTTCTTGTTTTGAGGTCCTTAGTTAAATTTTGCAGTTTGGGCCACTTAACCTTGAAACATCCTGTATAAAGACAAATTTTTGCAACATCCCTTCTACAGTTCCAGATAACCAAATGAACAAATGATAATATAAATATATGGTAGTCTTTTCATGAATAATTTGAAGTTTTTTTGCATATGTTTCATTATTTTACAACAATCATATATTGCCAGCACAAGTTTCCCTCTTGCTAACGAATTCACGTCATGACAAAGTCAATCGTAAAGTAAGAAGTACCTGTACTCTTACCTTTTTATTTCTATTTTCTGAGATTATTTCCTTATGAAAAATTTCTTTTATCTGAAATAGTATTATCTGTTCTTATCAAGTTTAGGTTTCTTCATAGATAATGATATAAATTCAGAATTTTATTATGAATAATAAATCATTAATGATAAACTTAAAACCATTGGCTTTAAGGTTAAAAGAGAAGTGCCATAGATAAGGGTTTATTCAAATTTTTTTTTTATTAACGTTCTAAGAAAATGAAACGAACCCAATAAAAATTGTTATAGTAAGATGAGTATGATAAAAAAAATATGTGTGATGATTTTAAGATAGATTTGCATATTTTGAAAGAGGAGTAGCCCAAAATAATAATATTAATACTGTTTTTATTTTATATAAATTTTTAGTAATTATCGTCATAAGGCTGTTCAAGCGAACCTTGATAGCTCAGATAACGAAAACTATGAGATATTTACATCTGATATAATAAAGAATGGATCAAACAGCACCAATATAAAAAAGTATGAGATATTTTCATCAGATATTAGAAAGAATGGATTAAAGAACACCGATAACAAAAAATATGATATATTTTCATCAGATATTAGAGAGAAAGGATTAAAACAAAATGATGTTCGGAAGAGATTTCTTACCAAACCTAAAGCTGTGAATCGGTAAAGCATAAATATTTTCCTTCTTTTATTTGCTTAATAATAACTATAGGATAAAAATATTGTGTTGTCACTTAATAATATTAATGGGATTGGTGATTAATTTTTTTTTTCTTTTTATTTTAAAACCTCAAGTTTTATGAGAAGTTATAATTTTTTAAGTGAAAACTTATTTAGCCGTGCCTAACACTTTATTTTGTGGATATTGAATGAGACTAAACCATTACGCTTGGGGTATATAATGCTCATTCGGGTAAAATCAGCATTAGTCGACTAATTTTTGTATTTGGATTAAAATATTTCAGAAAATAAACATCGGAACTGCATACTGTAAGTGAAGAAAATCACCATTTCATCCTTTTAGTAATGAGCTATAATTCAAAATTTTATTTTGATATGACGCCTAGCTAAAGAGTATGAAAGTGTCAAAAACCAAATGATAATGAGTTTTTTTGAACATTTGGATTAAAATATCTTAAATACTAAAATTCGGACCTGCATACTGTAAGCGAGAGAAATTTTCAGCATTCCATTCCCTTTGTAATGAGCTATTATTCAAAATTGTTTTGACGTGACGCCAAGTTAGAGAGTTGGGAAGGAAAAAAGATAACATAAAAAAACAAATAATAACGACTATTTTGGAAGTTTGGACTGGAAAATCTCAAAATTTAAGTACGATGAAGAATTTAGAAAGAGCTTTGCAGATGTCAATATTAATTTGTTTTAATTAGGCGTAAAAAGAAGAAATAAGAAACTAAGTGTTTCTATTCAATTTTCTGTTGTTAGTGTTTCAACAAATTACTGATCCATCCCCACCCCACCCTTACAAAAGTTCTATTATAAAAAATAACCAATGCTGCATAATTCTCTTATACTAATGTTTATCAAAAATATTCATTGCACGTTTTAGTTGCCATAAACCTATTGTTTCGTTTTTAGAGCAAGATATGGCGATAAATTTAACAAAGTTTACCAGAATAATTTAGACACAATTATAATTGTACATGTATATTGTAAATGTTATTACTTTGTGAATATAGAACAAAAAATAGTTTAGGTACTTTTTGACTGACTGCTGATCACTGATGGCACTGACTGCTATCTGCCAATGTTTATTACCTCAACACTGATTATTCCGATAACGCAGTGATAAGCCTTCTCCTACTTCCTATCTTCGTATTATTGTATTATATTCGTATTATTGAAAGTGTAAACAGATACAAAAACAAAAAAAATACTTTTATTTTATGACACATATATTAATGAAATAATAAAAAAACACTTTAAGAAGATATGTGCATATAAAACATCAAAATGAAATAATAAAAAAACACTTGAAGAACATATGTAGATATAAAAGATGAAAATGAAATAATAAAAAACATTTAAAGAACATATTTACATTGAAAAGAAAAAATATCAACACTATAAACAACATATGTACAATTTATTTTCACTTTGTTTTATTTATTTTGGAAGGCAAAATTGTTTTATGTTATTTAAAATAGCGAGGAACGAGTTCTTCTCTGTGAACCCGACGCCACAAAAATTCGCAGAAATATGAATCGAGGAGTTGTGTGGCACTTCCACTATATACTTTATTTCTCCACTTCTCTGAGCCCCATAATCGTTCTATGTGTTGAGTATGAACCCCAGTTGATGGATTAACAAAATTATACCAGTGATTCACTTGGGAATGGTCATAGTTTGCTTCGTTCAGTTGTCGGGTGTTGTATCCTTTCCAACAGTCCGAATAAATGGTCGTTCCCTCTTCTATATTGTCTTTAATTGCTTGCAATAAGGTTGTTGCTTTTCTGTCATTTATTTTGACGATAAAACATTCATCTGTTTCTCGGCAAACTCCACCAAACATCCGTTGCTGAGGTAAAACTCTCCCCACATGATTTTTTCGTTTAGAAAAAAGACTTTCGTCTACTTCAATCACTTTGCCAGGTCCTCCAATTTTTTTTCTTGGCCTGTATGACATGTCATGGGCACAAACCTCTCTTGACATTTGTTCCACGTTACCATAGCTCCGTAGAATAGTTTCAGCTGCTCTTTGCCCTACTTCATCGTTGTCAAGATATGGGACCATCCATAAATCAATTTTAAAGCTGTTAAAAACAAAATCCTCGAGCCCTCCAACCATGTTCCTATTGAAAGTTTTGTGTCACAAGTCCTACTACAGCAGCTCCATTTGGCGTTCCTGGTTAACTTCATTCGATGACCTCGTTCATACAATTTCACGTCTGCAAGTATTCCAACATTTTGAAAATATTGAATTGCCTGTTCTTCTGAAGACGGCAGATCCATAATATGACTAAAATAAACGGAAAAAAAAAAAATTAAAAATAAACACAAAGGGGCCAAAAACTACAAATAATGAAAAATAAACACAAACTGGCCAAAAGTAAAGAATTTAATAAGTGAACGTAATAAGGGAATAACTGAAAACTAAACAATGCAATAACTTAAAGATCTTGCGGGATAAGAAGAGGGAGGTTATGTGACATGACGTTAGATAAGAAGTGAGGTATCGTGCCAGCTTGCTAGTCAAAAAGTATCATAGTTTATACACAAGTGTAATTGCTTTTATATTGGAAATATTATTACTTTGTGAGTATAGAACAAAAAAAAAATGTATATTTCATATTATTAATTCCGCCTTGATGTTTTCACTTCTATCATGTGGTCTTAAGCACACAACATATTTTTTTTTTTTTTGTCGGATTAAAAAGTATGTCAGTCAGTGAGAGGTTTCTAGATAGAAATGAGAATTGACAAACAAGGAGAATTGACTTCAGGGCTTTGTTTGGATTAGTAGAGCTGGACATACAAAAAGTTGTGGGAGTTGGAAGAGCCAAGGAGGAAAAAAAAGATCATGTTTTATCGGTTTTACTTTATATCTGGAAAACAGTTGGTTGTAGGTTAAAAAATTAAAGACCATTGAATTTCGTACAAAAATGTCATAATTATTTTTTTATTTCATTGTGTTAGTATGTTTATGTATGAGAAAGTCATAAGACTCCCCATCACCTATGATTCTGAAACTTGGGTGATTTCTAAAGCTTCATAAAGGAAGCTACTACTCACTGTGATAGTTGCTGCTATGGCTGTCCAATCTCATGGTTTTTAAAAATCTTATAAGAAAAATAATCCATTTTACCAATGGAATAAACATAAAACAAAGGAGATATAAACAGTGGCGGACTTAGACATTCAGCGCCCCTGTCCAATTACGTCATCTCTCCCTCAACCTAAAAAAATTAAATTTATTTCTTAACATTTCTCTAATAAATTAATTATTTTAATTTAATTTCTAACCAGGCAAGTGCCCCAGAACAAATGCCGGTGCAAAATCCTCCAGATGGCACAAATTCGCATGTTTCCTTCAATTTTAAATGATTATGGTCGAATATCAACCACTGGGCGAACACTAGTTGATATAAAAACTCATTCATTGAACAAACTCTTCTTAACATCTCATTTTCATTAAATTAACCTTTTCATGATCATAATTTTGATTATGCTTTATATATAATATTTATTTTTTAAATATTTGTACATTTTCTCAATTAAGATTCTTTTGCAGGTTTGCGAAATTTGTTGAAGGTTCTTCCCACTTAATCGATGAAGAGGTTCTAGCTTTTGAAACTGATGTTAAACAGAGTGAATTCGATGATTTACTCACCGACGATTCTTCATCTTCGACTGACTAGATTAAACGATGTTTTAAAAAAAATTTTATTGAACTTGTAACTAATTGTAAATTTAATGACTTTGCGGAAGTGTTGATGAAGTGATTGTTACTATAATTATTGAAATCCGGAAACAATTTCAATTCACCATCTGTTAATAGTGGCAGTACAGTTTTAGTTTTCAGTGTTCCCTGTGTGATTGTAATTTCAACATTGTGCCATTGTTTTCTAACTTATCTTTTATTATTATATTTTTTGTTTGCATTTTTAATAATTTTAAAGTGAATTTTCAGTGAAGTATTTTTAATACTGTTTGTTAAATACCTCTTGTACTTATTGTAATGATGTCTGTAATATCTTTTGTATTATATGAAAACAAGTAATTTCGATGTTTGACACATGTATTTTAGATATCTTTACCATCTGTGATATTCTAATTTTAAAATTTCAAATCCAATGTACTATTCTGTCATTCTCTTTTTTCTAGCTTTACTTAGATATTTTTTATATGGAAAAAAAAACGCCTTCACTAATGAGACTGTGTAAATTTTATGTGATGATATTAACAATAAAGTATTTAAAAGATCTGTACTATTTAACTGAATATTGGTAATAGTAAATACTCCTTTTACCAAAATGTACTTTTTGTGGTTAATCATTAACCCCACTACCTTATAGCCAATGTAATAAAGGAAAAGTTTGATTTTCCTCGGAAACTTTTTTTTTCGTTAGGAATATTTTGAGCAATTGGAATAGTGACATAAACACAGTCAAGGGCTCTTTACCTCTGATTCCCATGGAAACTGCCAATTTTATGCTATTTGAAATTTGTATATTTGTAACAATTTATATAATTTATTGATATGTACCAATGATTATTTGAAAAATTACTAAATTCCCTACAAAACAAAAACAAAAACAAAAAAGAATCATCAGAATCTATTTGATATTTCTAACTTATACCTAATAATTTCTAATTTATACCTACTGATAGAGCAAAGTAAAGATCTCTCGTAAAACCAAGCTACTCTTATACAAAACCCTAATCAGACCAGTACTAACATATGGGTCAGAGTGCTGGACAATGTCAAGAGCCCAAGAAACAGCTCTTCTTCGGTTTGAACGTCGTGTGATAAGAAAAATATTCAGCTCAATAATAAATATTAATCAGGAGCGACGAATACGGTCCAACGACGAGCTGATGCAGCTATATAAAGAAGCCGATGTTGTGAGGCTAATGAAAATTGGCAGGTTGAGATGGGCGGGTCACATTATCCGTATGTCTGAACAACATGTACTAAGGAAGTTGATGGATGAGCGGATCTTAGCCACAAGGCGGGTAGGCAGACCAATAGTCAGATGGGCTGATGGAGTGAAAGCCGACGCCCGAAGTATCCTTGATATCCACAACTGGAAGGCAGCAGCATTACTTTTTAAGATTCTGTTTACATCTGTTTTTTAAGATTTGTCTTTGGCACTTCGAGATGGTCTCATGTGTCCCACCTACATGCCGAGTCAAAGTGGTTCTTCCCCTCTTCCCGTCGCCTATACTTCCTTGGAAATTTCTTATACCAAACGATCAACTCCTAGCACCCTTCCTATATCTGTTGTCTCCTCCAGCCTAAACCCTTAGTCCACTCAATAAAAACGAGATCCCGTGTTTCTGACCTCTATATTCCATTCCACAGGACAAAAACCTATGAACGTTCCTTCTTAGCCCGCTCCGTCTCCTACTGGAATTCTTTGCCACATAACATTCGTCATGCCTCTTCCCTGTCAACTTTCAAATACCTCCTTTTCCAATATCTCCTTACATCCCAAACAGAAGATTTACCACCATAAATTTCATTTTATGAACTGAATTTGCGTGAAGTAAATGGTGGTGCCTACTGTTTAAGTTTTAACATAAAACAGCAATGATCTTTGTCACCTAGTTTGACTATTATTTTTACTATTTATTTGTTTTTCTCTTCTCCTCAGGTTGTGCTTTTTCTTTCAGCTGTATATGTTTATATTTTATATTTTTGTCTTTCTGTGTGCCAATATGAGAATGTACGTATAAATAGTTCCTTTTATTTATTTTTATTTTTTCCATTACACCAAAGGTATCCTAAGATTTTATTTTATCTTAGTGTCTGCATATTATTATATAAATCACTGTAGATATTATTACATTTTGTATTAAGTTAGTTTTCTATTAGATAGCCTATTGTTTATAAATTGTGTAGTTATGTATATATAAATATGTAATTTCTCTTTTTTTTTTTTTTCATCACAATAAAGGAATTTTGAGAAGATTTTATGTTCATTTGTATATATTTTTTATTTTTTACTGGTTACATACTTTTTAAATAATGTATATAATATTAAAATTTTTAGAAGTTAGTTTTTGGCCAGATTTGTACTTTACTTTGTATTAACTCATCATTGTTATTCTAAAGGGACTTAGTCCCAGAATAAAATTTAATTTTCTATTCTATTCTATTCTACTTGGAGAGGACTGACGGTTGAAATTGTGGGAGGCCTTGATTCTGTAAGAGTTGTGGAGCCATTCATGATGATGATGATGATAGAGCAAAGTAGATTCAAATAAGTTTTTAAGTAGTAACAAAGTTGAGATTTGTATTTAGCACTCCTAAAAACCCTCAAATATGAATTTATTCAATCATAAAATAAAACTTTTTTGCTTCCAATTTTCACAAGGCCTTGGGTTTTTTTGGAAAATCACAAAAATTTTGATAATGATGGATTTTAATGAATGAGGTATCAAATGAAAGGAATTTCATGGAGACATGATGAACCATAGTCACATCCTCTCAGAAAAAGTTATAAAAGAAATGATATTTTATTTGCAAATAACTAAAAAAGTTTAAAATTGTCTGTTGATATGCACCAAGTTTACATTTTTTTGCAGAAATGTACCAATAATTGTTTGAAAAATTATTAAATGCCCTACAAAACAAAAATCATCGAAATCTATTTGAAATTTGTAACAATTTCTGTTCCCTTAATTGCTATTAAACTTCTTAAAATACACAAACATTACTTGTTTGGGGCATCAGGCCTTTCCTTATTCTGGAGTAGTAGGGAGAATAAGACCTAGATGCTCAATAAATTGATATGAAGGGGGTGTTCATTGAATGTAGAAAATCAAACGTAAAGTTAACATAAATAAAATATAAAGGAAGGAGATGGTCCGGGGTTGCGGTCATAAATAGGCTAAAAGTGGTAAATAGTGGTAAAACTATTTAGTCTATTTATGACCGCAACCCTGGACCATCTCCTTCCTTTATAATGCAACGGTCAACTATTAAATATTCAATAAATAAAATATATTGCATTAATAAATGTAACATCATTAGCTGTTGAGAGCGGGTACCAAAATATACATTAAAAGTTTGTTGGTTAGTATTGTAATGGATTCATGAAAATTGTACTTATATGAACCAGGTAGAACCTTATATATTTGGTGCTCCTGGGCAATGATGTCATCTCCCCCAAAATTAAATTTATTTCTTAAGCTTTTTTATAAAATTTAATATTTGAATTTTATTTAATTCAACATTTCTCTAATTCAATTGCTTTATTAATAGACTAAAATTAATAATTTTAATACATTTTTTTTTTTTTTAAGTTGTAACAAGTGGCGAGCGTCCCTGAAGACCTGCCGGCGGCCTGGTTGTCCTACCCTAAGGACTGGTTAGATGTTCAAGATACCTCAAATAGATTGTGGAACTTTTCATCATAAGCAGGAATATTGTAAACGACGAGCAAGTATCTTTGTTTTATTCAACACAGAAGATCAATATAAAATTAAAAAGAAACATGAATTTTGTTTTATCTTAATTTTTTCATATAATGCTATTGTAGAATATAATAGTTTGTAAATTGAAAAAGTATTAGTTCTATAAACTAAACATTGACTTAACAGTAAAATAAATTGCATATCTACAATTCATTATTTTGTTTTTATGTATATGAATTTAACTATTGTACTTGTATTCTTTACTTAGTGAATGTAAACATGTAATGTAATATAAGTGGTTATTTTTATTTCTCTTAAATTGCTGATTGTAATTTTGTAAAATATATAATAAATAAACTTGAGTAAAAGCTTTTGTATTACAGGCCAAATTTACCTCAAAAAATAAAATTTGAACTTCTGATTATTTGTTTTTCTGTCTTCCTTTTCTTTGGTTCAAAAAGAAAAATAATAGAAATAAATAACGATAAAATAAGAGATGAGGATGTAAATATAGTAAAATAATGTATCTATATTATTATTTATATCCATACTATTCCCTTTATCCTTAATTTACTTGTATTGATTATATTTTTGTTATTTATTTCTGTCAATACAACATACATTTATATATCTCTAGTATATCTGATTTAATTTCATCCTTGATGAAGACCCAAAAGTTTGCAATGAGAGTGGTATTTCGCAATAAAATAATGACCGAATTCTGATAATTTGTTCCATGATAAACCTCAGTCAATCAACTATGATCAAAATACTCTATACTATTAACAAATATAACAAGATAATTTTTAAAATGTTAAGATCTCAACTATCAAAAGATTTTAAATGAAAGCCAGTGTCAAAATTTAAAGGAACAGTGAATGATTTATTCCTTATGAACATGAACAATTTGTTAGATACAAACTTTTGGAAACTTACCTTCAACATCTGAAAAAAAAAAAAAATTAGAAAACAGTTTAACTTTGAATGAGATATATATTTAGATTATATAAATCTGTAGTTAATAATAAATACATAAAGGAGCATCGGTGTTTGATTATAAAGAAAGAATGGGATAAACTAAAACCATAGAATACTTCATAGAAACACATTTATTTGCATTCTATTATGCTTTACTATATATATATATATATATATATATATATATATATATATATATATATATATAGATCAAAATTACTACATATCCATAATATTTATAAATACAGTTCACTGTGGATGTCACTAGATGCATTCAAAACTCCAATTCACTCACTCACTACACTTTAGAGAAGTATATTTCTTTGTTTTCGTCTATTATATTATGGTTTACCATATATTTAAAAATATATTAAAAAAAAACTATTAGATATCTTTATTTATAACACATTTCACTATTAGTAACTCTAGATTCATTCAAAACTTCACTTCACTCACTATGTACACTTTTGAAAAACTAGCGATAAATAATTTAACTAAATTCTGTGATTTCTAATGAAGAAAACATTATGAAATAATGTATTGCTTAAAACATGAAAGAATCAAACACTAACTTAGGCTATATAACAGTTAAGACAATATATATATATACACTTCAGAAAGAAAACATTTCATAGAATTTATTACACGAAATTTTAACTTCTTAACATATAATGGAAGGTTGTGGAGCCCTGTCGCGTTAAGAATTAAATTAATAAACATTTAAATAAAATAACAAGGCGAAAACAACAATTTTAGCGATCGTTTACAAGTTTAAACGAATTTTGAATAATAGTTTTAAAACCCGATAAAAGAGAGCAGCACCATCCAATACACATATAAAATGCAATATTAGTTTCAAAAACCGCTAAAAGAGGTCAGCACTATCCAGGGACGAGAAATTGG